GTGGATAAAACTATTTAAGTATTTTTTTAAGTCTCTCTGCCAGTATAGATGCAAATAACTTATAATCTGAATTTAATAAGGAAATTGCTCTATAGTTCTTGGTTTGTGTTAAATCAGTCTCCTCTTTGGGTAGCAATGCAATGTATGCTTCTGACCATGATTTAGGTGTTCTACTCTCAGACATCACTTCATTCATAACTTCTAAGAGTGGGAGAGACAAGGATTCTTCAAATGTTTTGTAGAATTCCACTGGTAATCCATTTGGTCCCAGGGCCTTTCCGTTATTTTGTTTTTTAAGTGCTTCTGTTAGCTCAATCATCGTTATTTTACCTTCCAACATTGTTCTAATTTCGTCTGGTATATTTTCAGCCTCTTTTTTGAGAGAAAAAGGTGTGTCTTATACTCTGAAAAATATGGTACTTTTAGTCTTATTTTTATACTTTTTATCATGTTTTTATTTTTATCCATTTTAGCCACAAGAGTTATGTAATTAAGATGGGCACTCAGTAACAAAAGTGTTTTTACTTAAGCAATTCTTGTCATATCCACATTGCTACATTCTGGATCAAATAAAGTTTGCAGGTAGTTTTCAAGAGCACTGTTATTAAGCAATTGGCCCACAAAAGAAGATTTACAAAGGCTTCCTGGCCGCAGCTACCATCTGCTCTTTGGTCAGGAGCTATTAATCTGTTCTAGAAAAACAGAGCAATAACATCAAATTTTATAATCAACTGCTAAAAATAAATAAAGAAAGTCCTATATGTTTACTTATTTGCCATTATGTTCTTTAACACGTTTGTGTGTATTCAAAATAAAGATATATTTAAATATTATAAAATATGTTTATATTTACTTTATTTCAGGAACTGTGCGGATTGAAATGTTTAGAAACATGCAAAATGCAGAAATTATCAGGAAAATGACTGAAGAATTTGATGAGGTATAGTACTGGACATACACAAATTATGTTTTAAGCTTCACTAAAATTGGACACAGAGAATGTTATTGTGTGATTACATTATATAAGGAGGTATATTGTATAAAAACATAATTATACATCTTTATAAGTAAAAAAGAAAAGAAAAAGGAACTCTTAAAAAGAAGTGAGCAATTGTATATTGAATGGCACAGAACTTTAAATCAGACCGATTTCAGTGACAAATATTTAAACTTAAATTTCAGTAGGTTTTTTGAAATTGCTTGAAATTAAACTAGTTTCACTCTACCCTAACCTTGTATTGCACCCCACAATACAAATACTTTGTTGTAGAATATTAAAAGAGGACCAAAATTTAGGAATGGGAAAGGAAATTCAAGCATTCTTTTGCAGAAATAAAGACTTTTGAGAACTGTATGCAACGAAATTTCATTTTAATTTATGCCGATCAGTGTACATTCAGTGACAATAAAGTTATTATTCTATTCTATTCTGACAGCAATTAAAGAATATATCAACGAGTTCTGTAATTAAAATTTCAAGCTATGTATTTCGTATATAAAATATGTATTTATTGTGTTATACTTGCAATATTTTCTTATATAATAAACTGAAAATTGTGAACACAAATTAATTCAAGTATTTTGAAAATAATTTTAATATTGTAATGTGTAAGATTTAGTATAATCTCATTAATTTCTATATAGTTAGCTTATTTATTTTTCAGTAAACATACATAGCTTCCATGAAGGTCCCTATATTTTGTTTTGATAGAGGCAATCTCTGACATTTCTATAACACTGCCACTACTCATCAAATTTGCTTATCTTGTCTTATCTTAAAGAAGCCCCTGCCACTGTTTTAAAAATTGTTTTTAAAACAACCCATTGAGATACTATCTATATCCTCTAGACTAAAGTCTATATTTTTGTAGGATAACACATCAAATACTATCTTCTTGTTCTATTACAGAAGTGGGCAAGTTTTGTTCTAGCAAGGATTTTATTACAAAAGTGATCTGTCAGATGACATATGCCAGTGGTGAAGAGGGCTAAAAGCACATGGTGGGCCAACTATCCATTGGGAAAAAGAACAAGTTAAGCATTGTAGGAGGTATACCCATAATAGGCTGTTTGGTAGATCCCAATTTGGCATCTTACTGGAACTATTTGGATGCAGTTTATTCCTATCAGTTATCAATCTTCTTTCAATATTCCACTGAAAATAATTCTTTTCTATTGGTGCCTGTTTTATCTGGTCATCTACTGTTACTCCTTTATCTGTGTTGATGATTTTTTCTTTGAGTTGATGAAGTATTGATTTTATTTATGAATATATGTTATTATTGTTGTTTCAGCATTAATATCATATTTCTGAAATATTTGAAAGGTACCCACATCCAGAGTGATTATTCCTGGGTAACCATTTTTTTGAAAATAAATGCTGATATATTCAATTCTACCTCTCACTCAGGCAGTGTCTTACGTTCAAGTGCTTCTCTGATAAATTTGCTTGAAAATTTCAGAGTTGTCTGAAACTCACAAGTCCAAAACAAACATCACAGATCGTTCTCCTTGTTTATTGTCTTTACCACAGATTATTGCTTATTTGTCATTGTCAACTATTTAATCAGACATGATTTTTTTGTCTTTTTTTCCTTCGTGATTCAGAATATTCAGCTAATCATCAAACTTTTGTCTTCCTTGACAATATTTCTAACTATAGGGTAAATTTTCTCTCTTTCTTTGTGAAACACTGTGAATCTTACTCTTGTCATCCTGATAATAATGTTGCATCTGATTTTCCATTTTCTTATGATTTTCTCCTATCTGTTTAGGCAGTATTTTGCTTCCAGTTTGAGTGCAAATTGGTGCTTCAAAGCACATTACATAGCACCTCTTTGCAAATATTTAAAACAGCTATGTCTTTTCCCATCATCAAAGCTGATACCAGCCAAAGCATAGAACAACTCAAAAGAAGTAGTGCAAGATCGGAAAATATGGAGAAACCTGGCCCATAGAATTTCCCAAGAGTTGGACACGACTGAATGGATAACATCATCATCATCTCTTTTCTTGGGATTATGGCAGCTGCTTTCCATAGTTCACATATGATCAAAGGAAGTTATATTTTATTTAAAGACATATAGACAATTACTACACAAGTGCTAGGGCATGCTCCAAAGCACTTCTTTAATGCTCAGCTCTGAAGTCCTAGTATCAGTCCAGTGTTGTTCTTCTAAACAAATCTAACCATTTACTGTTTTTACCCATCTCTTTAAATCCTAACCTTGATTGTTCCCTGCCAGATTCTGGTAAATTTCAAAGCATTTCTCTGGTCAACTATCCTACTGTTTTTCTTCTCTTGAACTTTACTATTTTTTTTCTTGTGAAATTAATTTGAATTGCCCACATATTTTTCCAAGACATAAATCAGTTGGATCTATTTCACTTATGTAAAAGGTCCTACAATAACCTTTTTATTGAGCTATGTGTGGCTTTATAAGTAACAAATGTGAGCTACTAACTGGCCTACTGCTTTCCAGCTAATTGAAATTCTATGACCTGAATAGGTACCTCCATATAGAGTGTATTGTGGTAATGTAGCCAACTAAAATATAGAGGCATGTCATGTGTTTTACCTGACACTTAAACTATACAATAACTGAGCTCTTGAAAATTATAAAAACAAACAGTGAAACTAAGATTAGATATGAAAATCAAAATATCATATGAAATGCAGTAAAATTGAATTGGGAATACTATTTCTATCTTGTCTCTTCGTATAAGAGATCTCAATAAAGTAGAATATTTTTGTTTTGTGCTTGAAGAGAATTGTAATTCAGGTTGCAATTTAGCCAGATCAAAACCTCCAAAATTTTGGTTGCTATAAGCTTTAGCTAGCTAGCTATTCCAACACCTGCGCGCACACACCTGCAAAGGTCATTCAGAGCATGAATGATAAGTTTGATGATCTCTCTTTTTTCTTCCCTTGACCTGTGTACCTGCATGCTCAAAAGTCGTCCTGGTGTCTTTATTCTTTTCTGTCTATTAACTGTTTTAGCTTAATTGAGTTATTTATATAATTAATATATTTTTAAAGAATTTATGGTATCATTATCCTTCAATTCAAGTGCAGAATATTCCANGAAAGCAGGGGTTGCCCTTTCCAAAATCTGCCCAGCTAAGTTTCAACCAGATTCCAGGGCAGGAGTCAGGGTATGTTGTTTGTTATTAAGGAAATTGTTAAGGCTCTGCAGGACCCCAGTTGTGAGATCCTGTAGTGTCAGTGATCAGTAGAGATTGTTGCTCTTATACCAAACTCCATGTTGCATAGCAATCTCCCTGTCTGAATTCCTTGACACCATTTCTGGATTGGCAGTGGAGCTTTCCAGGCCTCCAGTTCTGGGGGGCTGCCTTGCTTCTGAATGGGATCTGAGGTGGCTTGGGAGTTTATGGTCCTATCTTAGGTCATTCAAGCTCGATTCAAGATAGTATTTACCCTCCAGATTTAATATTCCTTTCGAATTATTGGCAATGTGATCTGAAACTTGGGGAGCTTTTGGTGTTTCTTTTGTCATGGACAGTTCTCTCTTTGATTGCCACGAATTCGTCTTGTGTCACCTTCTATTGCATAGAAGTCGGATCATTAGATTGGTCCACCTCCAGCAACTGATGGACCTGAGCCGCTTTAGAGGGAGTTGAGTTGGTTTGCTGTATGGTCCATCTGAGGCTTTGGTTGCCGCTTGGAATAGTGGGGCAGCTGAAACCTTAAGATTGGATTGTACCTGTGTAAATTATTTCCCCTTGATTATGTCGCCCTCTGTGGTTTACAGAAGAGGGAGATAAAATGGGAGAAGAGACCTCTTGAGTGCCATTGGTGCTCAACAAATTCAACCAAGTGCAGGTTAGAGCTGCTTTTAAGGCCTATCTTGTGGCAGCAAAGGCGATGAAACACCAGTATTTCTTCCTTAATGCATCCACAGTCTTGTTTTGGGTGACATAGGCCCTCTGGGTAAGGAACATGGAGATCCTCTTACAGGGGCATGCAGAAGAATTTGCATAACATCTGTCAGATAATGTCACTCAGTTTCATTCCCAGTTGGACAATAGCTTGGTCACAGATCCAGAGGAGATGCCTAGGGAAGAGTGTTACTGGTTTTCTGGTTTGAACTGTTGGCCTTGAGGAAGAGAGAAGGTTCTTAGGATTGTGACTGCAACCACCTGCTTTTTAGATCCCTGTCCCTCCTGGCTAGTAAAGTAGCCTGAGGAATATTAGTGGGTTCTGGTAGTGTTAATTATTCTTTGAGTGAGTGGGTTATTCCTTTGTCTCTTAAAGAAACTGTGATTTGCCTTCTTTTAAAAAAGCTTTCGCTGCCCCCCACTATATTAGACAAAGCTAAACTTGCCCTTTTGGTGACTTTCAATGCCATTGACTTCATCAAGGTCGACATTGACTATGGTATCCTTCTGGATCATCTCAGAGGACTGGAGTGGGTGGCACAGTATTCAGCTGGTTTACCTCTTTCCCTCAGGGTCGATTCCAGTCAAAGATGATTAGGTAGGAGAGGTCCCGCCCTCAGCCTCTACTATTAGGTAGGGTGCTAAGGAGTTTCGTGCTTTCTCCTTTCCTCTTTAACATCTACATGAGTCTATGGGATAAACACTTTTGTTTCCTGGGTGAATCATGCTGTTGATATCCAGTTGTAAATCTCTACAATTTGCAAATTAAACAATGCCATGACCATCTTATCCTGGTACCTAAAGGTTGTGTCATCTGTTCTTTTAGGTGTCTGCTATTCCACTACCACTGTGTCACCTGCAAATTATATAATCCTATTTTATTACCGCTCACCCAGATTATGTTTAACAGCATATTGCCTAAAATGGAACTATGAATTCTTTGTTTCCCTTTGGATGCTGAAGAGCCATTGATGGACAGTCATTTGGTGGTATAATTGTTCAGGCAGCTCTGCGTCCATCTAATGGTAGTATGATCCAGCCTACTAAACTTTCATGAAAACTGTCGAACCCTTGTACTGAAAACAGGATATGTTATGTCTCTTACATTTTCATGGTCAACTAAATTGGTCATTCCATAAAAACATTGAGGTTAATCTGGCATGATTAATTTTTCATAAATTAGAAATTTTGTTCACAAAACTTTTTTTTATAATTTGTTGCAGAATTTTTGACACTTAGTACTGTCTCCTTTAATCAGCCATTTCAATCCTACCTGGATTATCCTATTTCTGTTAGCTGTTAAACCATATCACTTTTCATCTTTTACCTCCCTGCTGATATAGACAAAAAAAGGTTAACCCCAACTTTTGGTTTTCCCAAGCTTTAGTTTGTTTTCTACATTTATTTACAAAATCTTTACTGCTCTGCAAGAGAGTTAAGTGAGTTTTGCCCCATTTTACACCCTTTCTTGGCACAGTTGCTAAGTGAATCACTGCAGTTGTTAAGTTAGTAATATGGTTGTTAAGTGACTCCGACTTCCTCATTGACTTTGCTTGTCAAAAGGTTGAAAAAGGTGATCACAAGACTAGGACACTGCAACTGTCATAAACTTGGAGGATGCTATAATGATCATAAGTGTAAAAGCAGTCTTAAGTCACTTTTTCTAGTGCCGGGGTAACTTCAAGCAGTCACTAAACAAATAAGTCGAGGATGACTTGTAGTACCATTTATTCCTAACTATAGCTTTGATTTTATTATTAAATATTTCTTAAGCAATTTATTCTCACTGCATTTTTGTTTCTCCTGACATTTTTATCTTTCACATCAATAAGACAGATTTGGCTGGAATCACATGCAGTTATTTTTGCTTCTCATAACAAATAGAACAGATTTACCACCTTTCTGCCAGTATTTTCACATCTTAATATTCTTTCATTTTCCTATCATTGGTAAACATTGTACCAGCAACATATATTTGTCTACTTGCTCTAATTTCCCATAATTTGCCATCATATTTGATATAGAAAATAAAATGGAAAAGAACCACTCCTTTTTGCAGTGCATATATATTCAATCCACATCACTGTTGTACAAGGCACACAAAAATTCTCTACAATTCATTCTTAGTCAAAAACACAGAATCCTCTGCATACCAGGGTTATCAATATTCAATAAGAAAGTTCTTACATTATAATGAATAGTCCTTATAAACAATGAATAATTTCATTCCTATATTTTGTAGTTATCCTACATACTCATATCACATTCATTTTTATACATTTTACACATTTTTTCCATCCACAGTGTCTTTCATTTCATCATTGCACTAAAATTCCTTTTTTGTACTTATCATTAACATACCGTATTTTTCNTAGAGATGTAGTTATTTCTTATATATAGTGCAACTCCACTTCCTCTTTTATATGATCTATTTCTTCCTGCAGGACAGTGGCGATTATCCACTTACAATGCCTGGGCCACAGTGGAAGAAATTCCGATCAAATTTTTGTGAATTCATAGGAGTACTAATACGACAATGTCAATATAGCATCATCTATGATGAATATATGATGGACACAGTGATCTCATTGCTGACTGGTTTGTCAGATTCGCAGGTTCGAGCTTTCAGACATACTAGTACACTTGCTGGTAGGTATATTTTAAAGACAAAGCATACAAAATAATCATTACATTATGATAAATCTATGTTGTTATTGATATTATATTTGGAACAATTTATTCAGAGAATATTGATATATATTTTCATATGTGAATTGTACAGAAATAATTTATAATTGTTCTGGTTTGAAACAGTACACTTGCACTAATGCTTGGATCAACTGGTTTTGGGGAAAATAAGATGAATTTTTTTTTCATATAATTTATTTTTAATCCATCTTCCTACAAAAGAATTATGAAGGCATAAAACATAATACCTCTCTTTAAATATGTCCTGTATTACATTTATTGATATAAAATTGTACAAATAAACACAGGAAACTTTTTAATATATAAACATATTTTTTTTATTTGATAGAGGACTAGTCTGTTACTGGTGTACCATTTGGGGAGATGGTTTGTCTATAATTTCTTAATGTCTATTGAATATGAAAATATATTTTTGTATAATGCAGATTGTATAAATTACTACAAATGGCAACACTCTGCAAATTGGATTGGATCTCATGAAATTAATGTAAAATGTAAAGTAATGTGGATTTAATTAAATTTTAAATTAAAGTAGTTTGAATGAAGTCTTTTACTTTGTGAGGCAGTCCAAATGAAAATTTGGTCCATTGCATTCAAAGAAATATATTTCTTCCTGCCCCCTTCACTTTTTTTTAGAAATGAAATAATTGCTCTGTGAGAAATAATTTTTCCTAATCTTTGTAATATCCATTGAAATTAATGGTTAGATTGATTTTGAAAAAGAATTACTGATGATCAGAATGTAAAATAACAATAACCATATTTAGTTAGGCAGAATAGAGAAGAAAGTTGTACATGCAGCCCCATTTCTTTCTCTCATCCCTGCATGGCAATCAGAGGCTTTAGAATGTTGTACAGTACTCACATTTCCTTGAATTTGAGTATAGTTCTCTGTCAAAACCTAGATAAAGCAGATATGCAGATTGTGTAGATGCAATTAGGATTTGCGTAAACTAAAGCCCTGCATGGTTTCTGATGAATCCTGAATAGTACTGCTATCTTTATTATTTGTTACTAATGACTACATTTTAATGGGATCCATATTAGAAAATTCTGTAGATTTTTTGCCGTCAGAACTATTAGATGTAAGCTTTCAGGATTACATACTGAACTACTTCGCAGACAATAATAAGCCATCTCTGATTTCCATAATGGATCTGTGGAAAACTGAAATGCTTCTAATATTATACATAGGATTTGCCAAGAGATTTTCTCTTGATTTTAAGTTCATTGATATACTGTTATGAGTAATGCATAATTATAGATTCTGAAAGTAATATCCATATTTTACCTCAACACAAATAGATCAGAATCTTCAGCTTCTAGTTAGTGTTAAGCAAATAATTAATTGTTTCAAAAATGCATTTGAGCATGGAAAAGAAGAACTGATTTTTGTTTGTATTTTTCCTAGCTATGAAGCTTATGACTGCTCTTGTGAATGTTGCCTTAAACCTGAGTATTCATCAGGATAATACACAAAGACAGTATGAAGCTGAAAGGAACAAAATGATTGGTAAAAGAGCTAATGAAAGACTGGAGCTGCTTCTTCAAAAAAGGAAAGAGGTATAAATGACTGTTCAGAGTGACTGTCATAGTTTTTCATCTTTAAAAAGCAATTCAGAAAAGATACAATTCACGGTATCTTTACAGTTCAGACCAGCAGGCCCAAAACTATGAAATTGCAGTTGATTTTTGCATATAAACTGTCCCTTTAATATAAATGAAATTCGATCAGTTTTCAAGCACAATTAAAATAAATGATTCTTGTATCATTCCATATTGGTTAATATTTAACAGAAATACCACAGCCTTTTTGTAGTGAATAAGAATTAAAATAATCCTTGTAATTAAATGGTATAAAGCTGCATGATATGTAGTTCGTTAAGTTATAATATATTAATAATTTAGATTTTCAAGATTTTACATATTGACATAGCACTTCAGATAGGTAAACACTCTATAAAGTTCAGTGTTATCATTTTAAAATAAAATCTTGTTTATTCAAGATTTTGTTTATTCAAGATCGGCATAATTACAGTGAACATTGCTTTATATTTTTTCTTTCATTGTGGCTAATTGAGGGAGAAATTTATGTATTTAATTGGACTTGGGCATTGCCTAATTCCAAACCATCCCTGGACAGTGAGCAATATAAAAACGTGCATACAATAAGATAAATAAAAAGTGCAGCAAGGAAACTAAATAGCAACATCAAAACATATGCAGCATGTGACCAATATATCTAACAAAGGGTTCCATCCACTCAATCTCAAGGCCTAGGAGAACAGCCAGGTCTTTAAGGATAAGATATTAATTAATCATAGTCTGTCTGGGTTATATTATCCTTCATCAATTTACATTAAATATTTTACATGAGCAGTACAGAAATATGTGTGCATAGATCAGGCAAGAGGGAGGGAGGATGCAGGTATATTGGAGAGTGTTATTGATTACCTTAGTTCAAGTCATTTTGAATTATATTTTGGCTGGTTCCTTATGTAAATAATTAACACAACTATGCTAGACTTTAGCATTGGAATATTCCCCCAAATATTGCTATCCCAAAGCTTTGGGTTGATTTGATAAGGCAGACAGGCACAGTGAAATTGTTAAGAAATCATTTCATTTCAAATACATATCACATCCATTACCAGGTTCCTACCCACATGATGATAGTCAGTATGCTGTAGTATTTCAGGAATAAGGCTAGAAACGTGGGGACCATGAGTTCTAGTTCTGCCTTAAGCACAAAGCCAGTAGGGAGGCCCTGGGAAAGAAATTTCTCTGAGTCCTAGGAGGAAATGACAAATCAATTATGGATTTGTCAAATCCATGAGGTCCAACTGCAGGGTCTTGTCCTGGCAGTCTCCAAGAAGCAGGCATTATTGCGAAGAGAGAGAAAAATCAAACAATCATATGTTTATAACACGTAAGCTAACCTTTCAAATGCTACACAGTATGATTGATGGAATGCAAGATTGTGTCAAATAGATTAATTTGAGTGAGCTTGTAGAATGCAAGATGTAGTGGAAATAGTCCCTTAATGCATTTCTTAAATTAAATTAAATATTATATCAAGTTATCTAGGACATAGGTAACTGCTTATCAATCAAGTGACCTATTGTATAATGATGTATTTGGGTAGGATCTAAGTATCTCTTTTTCTGTTTTGAGATATTGTCCCAATTATTAATCAGTTATTTAACTCTACCCATTATTGTCTTTAGTTTCTAAAGACAAAAATTGAAAGAAGAGCAAGTTGGCATTGGTGATTTTTTTTTGTTGAATTTCACTGTCCCCACTGGGAGTTCTACTGAAAAGACACACGCAAACACACACACACACGTTTGGTTTCCATGAAAATGGAGTGTTTTCTGTCATATATGGAAGAAAGATTATTTTTTTGTAATTTGGAATAAAGAAAGTTATGAAATGGAAAATATAATCTTTAATCTGAAAATTTACCAGAAAAAGCATTGTATCTATCATCTAAAAAATTTCATTTCACAAATTCAATAGAAGGCAAGTTCAATAGCCATAAAATAAAATGCTATTAATATTTCAGATAACACTTGACTTTTAGTGTGGCAATATTATAAATGCCATATACAAAATAATGCATATTAACTTTTTCCAATTTTGATAGATTAAACTAAAGCTGTTTATCTTTTTGTAGTGAAGTATACTTACAATTTCTTTAAAATAATAATTAATTAATAATTTTTTGGAAGTTTTATACTCTTTTGAATCTTAAAATTTATTTGAATATTTAAAATTGTTTTCTAAATAAGCTATAGAGGTCCTTATTTCAAAATTATTGATTTGGTTCACTGATTATTTTTTACTGGGAGGGGTGGGGAGGAGGGCAAGTGATGGATGCAGACAGAAAAAAAGATGTAAGTAGCCAAAATACCATATATAATTCAGAGCTGGGCATGATGATTTATAGACCAGTCGGTGTTGGTGGGGGGACAGAGGTTGACCTCCAGGCCCCTCAAATGTGGGGTGCTGCAGGGTTCGGTCCTGTCCCCCCTCCTATTCAACATCTACATGAAGCCGCTGGGTGAGATCATACGATGGCACGGGATAAAGTACCATCAATATTCAGATGATACTCAGCTCAGTGTAGCGGCGGATGTGATGTGCCGATGCCTGGAAGCTGTCAGGATCTGGATGGGGATGAACAAATTGGTACTCAATCCCGACAAGACCGAGTGGCTTTGGATGTTGCCCCCGAGTGACAGTTCAGACAGTCCATCCTTGATCCTGGGGGGTGAAAAATTTACACCCCTCAGAGAGGGCTCGCAATTTGGGGGTCCTCCTGGATTCGCAGCTGACACTTGCACACCATCTGTCGTCTGTGACCAGGGGGGGCTTTGCCCAGGTTCGCCTGATACACCAATTGTGGCCCTATTTGGACGGGGGGCACTTCAGACGGTCACTCAGGCCCTTGTCACCTCAAGGCTTGATTATTGCAATGCACTCTACATGGGGCTACCCTTGAAAAGCGTTCGGAGACTACAGCTAGTCCAGAATGCAGCCGCGCGAGCAATATTGGGTGTACCGAGATAGACCCACATTGCACCTGTCCTCCACGAGCTGCACTGGCTGCCAATTGGTCTCTGGACGAAATTCAAGGTGTTGGTTATTACCTTTAAAGCCTTACATGGCTTAGGACCAGCCTATCTGCGAGACCGCCTACTGCTATACACCTCCCAACGGCTGATATGATCCCACAGGGTGGGCCTCCTTCGGATACCGTCAGCTG